CTCTCTCTCTCTCTCTCTCTCTCTCTCTCTCTCTCTCTCTCTCTCTCTCTCTCTCTCTCTCTCTCTCTCTCTCTCTCTCCCACCAGCTTCCAAAGGTATGGGGCACCTGTCTGCCTACCGAGCTGCCCGCCTGCCTACCTGCCCAGCACCTCCCTCCTTTCCATACGCCTGTGTGCGTGTGTGTGCCTGACTGTGTGTACGTGTGTTTGTGTGCCGAGTGTGCGGGTGGGGGCCTTTCTTCCACAGGAGCCCACGCCGTCTCTGGCCCCCTGGCCTGGGAGGGCCCTTCCCCGCCCAGCCCATACCACCCTCCACTCCCGGTCCGTCTCACACCTCCCCAGGCCACCAGGGGCTCGGCTCCTCTTCATTCCTCCCCTAGCAGGACTACGGATTTTTGTTTCTTGTATCTCCCTGTTTTCTTCCCTCTCTCTTTGCCCCTCTAGTGATGTAGACAGAGAATTTTGGAATAACAATGAGAGCACAGTGCAGCAGAAATGGAGCTCCTACCCTCCCAAGGAGTTTATACTAAACATTTCACCCTACGCCCCTTATGGCGATCCGCGACTGTCCCTCAAGTGAGTTTCTTTACCTGATTTGATATGTACTGAGTATATGCGCACCCCCTGCCCCCACTCCTCTTCCCTCCTCCTCTTCCTCCCCTCCCCCACCCCCTCCCTGTCCACCCCATGGACAGACTGACCATGGAGACGAGCAACCCCTCCTGCCTCCCCTCCCTCAACCTCTCCCGGCCTCCCCCGCCTGCCTCCCTCCCCCAGGGCCAGTTACTCAGGAGAGTCCAGTCTGTCACCAGCCCTGCCCCGCGGTCCCTCGCTGTCCCTTCTGGTTCTCCCAAGTCAGGACGGGGTTGCCCGTTTTGGCCTCTCCCCTCTCGGCGTTGTGGCTCTGCCTTTGTTTCTCTCCCTGCTGGTGTGTTGCTGCTGCTGCTGCCGCTGCCGCTGCCGCTGCCGCTGCTGCTGCTGCTGCTGCTGGTTGGTGGTCGGTGGTCGGTGGTCGGTGGTTGGTGGCTGGTGGCGGTGGTGACTGATGGTGAAGCTGTCTCACTAACTTGGCTCTCTCTTTCTCCCTGCCTTGGGGCCTCCTCTCCTGGACAGCCCGCTCCTTCGTCGTTAACCCTTCGTTGTCCTGTGGGATAGAGTTTGAGGCGGCTGCCCTCCCCCCACCCCCCGAGGCCCCCGCACCAGGCGGTGGGGAGGGCCCCCCTCCGTTGTCGTGGTGCGTTGTTCTCTTCCCCCAACACTCCATGCCCTCTCTCCTCTCCGCAGGCTCAGTTGACCCATTTGCAGTGCTGATGTCTCTCTCTCTCTCTCTGTCTGTCTCTTGTCTGTCTGTCTCTCTCCTCCTCTCTCTCTGTCTCTCTCTTCCTTTTATCTGTTTTTGTTTTCCTCCTCCTCCCCCCTCCCCGTGTGTGGTCTGCTCTCCCCTCCCCCCCGGCATTGCCTGGCACTCCTCCGGCCCGGCCGCCCGGGCTTCAGTGGCACCCTCCTGGCAGGCGCCAAAGTGGCCGCCGCGGCGGGGCTGCCTGTGGAACGGGAAGGCCGGCCAGGGGAGAAGCGGGCGCCACCTCCGCCACTGCCCACAGAGGACACCATGAGGAGCAGCGTGTCTGCCCACAGCGAGCCCAGCAATGGGAAGGCGGGGAGAGGCCGATGGCACACAGTGCAGAGCCACCTCGCCACGGGGAAGCTCAGCCGGTCCAAGTGAGTGAGAGCGCACCGCGGCCGGAGCGAGCGAGCGAGCGAGCGAGCGAGCTTGGTGCCTGTCCATACACCGGGGTGGACGTGGTGGTGTGAGGGGCACCCAGTGTTGGCCCCCCACCCTTGGCTCTCGGGTCATTCCATCCTCAGCCGTGGGGCTCTCCCGTTGTCAATCACGACTAGGCCCTTCCATCCCTAGCCACCTGGATGTGACCAGACCCATGCCCACTCTGTCCCATCTCAGCATCTGGCCGCTGCCCCTTTCTTCTCGTGCCCATCGGACATTGATCTCTCTCTTTGCCAGTTCATCCCATCTCTGGCCTTCGGGCAGCCTCATCCCAGCCCTTGCAGTTCCCCAGCTCCATCAGCCGTTGGCTCATCGTATTCTGGGCATCTTCTCCGCTGGACCATCCCATCTCTGGCGGCTAGGCTGTCCCATTCTCTGCCATTGTTTGATCCCATATCCATTAGCATCCAAGCCTTCTCACGTGAGGCCATCCTACTCTTCTCGTCTCAGTGGCTGAAGCATTCCATTTTCTACCATTGGGTTAATTCCATTAGCTCGTCCCCATTCTCGATTGTACCGTCATGCTGTCCGCTACCGAAGCTCATCTAAGATCAGCAGCTGGGCTGTCCCCCTTGGTTGGCTCATTCTCATCTCAACTTTTCCCATTGGCTGTCTCAGTCTTGGTCAGTGAGCTGTCCTTGTGTTCCACTGGAATTAGTCTGTTCTTGGTGGTTGGGTTGCTGTCGTCTCAGCTTTCCCTTTATTGGCATTCAAACTCCCTCAGGCCCCACCTAAGTGGACGGTCCTGATATCACTCAGAGAAGAGTCACCCTATTCTTGGATGTTGACCACTCATGGTTGCCAGAGAGGCTGTCCCCTTCTCAGCATTTGGGACAGCCTCACTCCCTGGTGGCTGAGACAGCCTCACTCTCAACAGATGGGACCCTCCAATCCTCGGCAATTGGACTGTTCCCATTCAAAGCAGTTGAGCATACCATTCTCAGCTGTTAGGATGGAAGTTCCATTTTCAACTCTAGGAACAGCCTCGTTCTTAGCAGGTGGGAAAGCCTCACTCTCAGTAGATGGAAATGCCTTCCTCCCAAGTTCTTAACAATTGAGCTGCCCCTTTCTCGGCCCTTTGGCCATTGTGTAGTGCTCGAACCTGCGGTGGGGGGCACCTCACTCTCCTGAGAGGGTCTGCTCCACCACCCATAGTTTACCTGCTACTTTTGTCCCTTCTTGAGCAAAGGACTGAGCCTCGAGTGAGTTTGCTCTTTGGACCAAACAACAGGCTGTTTTCCCTTGACCTCTCCCTATAGACTGGCCAAGAGGAAGCTAAATCTCTGAGCCGGCCCCCATCCCCTGCCCTCTTTGAGTCAGGCAGCCTGAGCTACTGGCCAGCCCCGGCCTGGCTCTCCAGGAGATCAACTCGAGCCTGGCAATTTGCAATTTCCCCAGCCCGGCCTGGACGCTCTCCACTGGCACAGGGCCTAGAAGTACCAATTTTAGTCTCCTGTGACGGAGAGGTTGTGAATTGGACTAATTTAGGATGTGATAGGAAATCCAGAATGAGGTCAGTGAGGAGGAGGAGGAGGAGGAGGAGGAAGCTGTAGTGTCAGGCCTCTGTCCTGTCCCAGGGAACTGCCGGACCTACCTGGCCTGGCACTGTGCCTTCTATTGCCACTGGCTGGAGAGCTGAGTGCCATGTCCAAGATGGCACCAGCCTGTTGCTGACAGCCCCTGGGTTCCCGAGGGCAGCGGACTCTCTGCTGAGACTGTGTTTTGCTTTCTTCTCTCTCATTCTCTCTCTCTCTTCTTTTGTTCTTGTTCTCTCTCTCTCTCTCTCTCTCTCTCTCTCTCTCTCTCTCGCCCAGAGGGGCAGCTTAACCATTGCCTTCCAGCATTACTAGTTGGCCCAGGTTGGGGGTGGAGGGGGGAAAGGTGGAGCCATGGCAGCTGGCTGGTGAATGGGGATCCCATAGGGCCTTAGGGGGGCGGGCTTCCCTTGGGCGCAGGCCTGAGGTCTGTGGGGTTGCCTCTGGCTCCCACTTTTAGCCCAGGGATATTAAAACTGAAGAAAAGATTGAGGGACCAAAGGACTCAAAAACTTCCTGTACAGACTGTCATACTCAGGGTGATCAGGAAGCAGTGGGCTCTGTTCTTATAGAAACCCATGACACGGGATGGCAGAGCTGGGAGGGCCCTTAGAACATGAGATGTCAAAACCAGAAGGGTCCATAGAATATCAGGAAAGAACCACAGAACACATAACACGAGAGCTAAGGAGCCCAGAAAGTCAGAGCTAGAAGGAATGTGGAGAACACATGACATGAAGAGCTGGGAAGAACCTTAGAACATAGAAGGTCGAAGCTGGGAGGGCCTCTCAAATATAACGACATGAAACATACTAGAGCTGTATGGAACCTCCGAGGTCATCTAGTACAATCTCCTCAACCAAAGAGGTGGGAACAGACCCAGGGAGATGAAGGACCTGGGCCGAGGTCACAAGGTTAAGACACTTGTCTCTCAACCGTCTAACCTTGCCAAAGGCCTCAGCCAAGGGGACTCACCCTCTTCAGGGCCCTGGAAAGTGTCCAGAGGTCCAGGGGAGCCTTCCTGCCCCTTAAAGGAAGAGCACCAGCTCAATCTCCCTGTCCCGGACCCCCCCACACACACACCAGAAGACCAGCTGTAGGGCCTCCTTTCTCCTGTAGGCTGCCTCCTTTCTCACCAATGATGGTGGCAAGACCGTCTCTGTGTTCTCACAGATCTTGGCATAGTCTCTCGGAGCTGGTTGGATTTAGTGCCTCTGAGATGGAGGAGAGTGGGCAGGGGGACCCTTGTAAGGGCCTCACTTACCTTCATAATGGGGTGATCCCCCTCATACTACATAGCCAACAAGTCTATAGTAAGGAAAACTCTATTTTGAATGATCTAAGATGCTAGAGAGTATATGGGGTAGCTGAAATAGCCCCCAATTTGGAGTGACTGCCACTGAACGTTCTGCCTTGATGAGCTTCAATGGCTTCATCTGTAAACTAAAGCAGCTGAAGGAGATGCTCTCTCTCCCCCAGGTCTCTTGAAGCACCTGGCATAGAATCACAAAGACCAAGGTTTAAACCTTGTGACCAGGCATGTGACTCTGTTTCCCCCTCTGTAAAATGGGGAGATTGGACTAAGTTGGTCTCTAGGGTACTTCCCAGAACTAAGTTGAATTCTCTGGCCTCTTCCCTTTGTCAAAAGTAAGGAGAAATGGGTAGGTATCTCCCAGCTGTTGTAGTGAGTGACCAGCCCCCATGGGGCAGACAGAGACTGCCTCACTCTCAGGAAGCCAGGTAGAGGGTTCTGGGATCTAAGATAGAAGGACAGTCCCAGAGCTCCAGAATGGCCCATGGCCCGGGAGGCTCAGCGAGACCCTGGCAGGGTGGGGAAAGCTTCCCTGTAAGAGGCGATATCACCAGTGGGAAAGGAGCTATCTCCAAAGAGTCAAATCTCACCCCTGTCCCCGACTACCCAAGTTATCTTGAGCAAGTCTCTGGCCCTCAGTTTCCTCTTTATATAAAATGAGCAGGTGGGACTGGATGATTACCTAAGGTCCCCCTTCCTGCGGTGGGCCTATGAGAAATACAGAAATTGTGGGTCATCCCCACCCAGAGTTCAGTCTCGGCCGGACCTGTCTATGTGGGGACATCAAATCAGGGAGTGGCTGAGGTCACCCGCTTCCCTGCACCCCACTGGCAAAGTCTCTCAGTGTGATAGGCAGCGGCAGGGCCCCCCCCCGAGGACCCCCCTTCACCACACAGCTGCCGAGGAGTCCGCTAGCCAAGGAAGGAGGTGGGCCCAGGCAGCAGCTGTTGCCCAGGGAAGCTGGAGCTGGGGCTAGGAAGGGGGCCAGCCTGGGGGGAGGGAGGGGAGCCAAGGACTGCAGGGGGGGATTGGAGGGGTGGAGGTGGCCTTGGAGGTGCAGCTTCGCAGCAGCCGGCCAGCGTGGCGGTGACCTGGGCTGGAGGCCCCCAGAGGTCCAGCGGAGCATGCCCTGCCCTGGGGCCTCCTGGTCGTGACCCTCGCCTTTTTTCTCCTCCACTTTGATCCCTTCATCTGCTTCTCCTTTCTCTCCTCTCCTCCTCCTCCTGTGCCGCTGCCGGCCCCAAGTTTCGAGGACTCCACCTTGTCCACGGCCACTACCCTAGAGTATATCCCCAGCTCGGCGGGGGACCCGAAATGCCAGCGACCCCGCACCCTGCTCCGGCAGCAGAGCCTTCAGCAACCGCTGACTCAGCACCAGAGGGGCCGGCAGCCCAGCCAGCCCACTACCAGCCAGAGCTTGGGGCAGCTCCAGGCCCACACGAGCTCGGCGCCTGCTGCCACCAACCCCCGAGCGCAAGGCCGGGGCCAGGCCCGCCAGGGCACTGCGGCCGGCTCCAAGTACCGGGCGGCGGCGGGGGGCCGCAGCCGCGCCAACCCAGGCAGCTGGGACCACGTTGTGGGGCAGATTCGAAACCGAGGCTTGGACATGAAGTCCTTCCTGTAAGTCCTTCTCACGGCCTGCGTCCCACCCCCTGCCCCCAAATCTCACCTCCTCCCTCTTCCCACTCAACTTCCTTCCCCAAATCCCGTTGGCACTGATCAGTTTCCCTCCCTTTCTCCTGTTCTCTTCCCCTCCTCTCCAACCCTTGGGCGAGGCTGACGCCTGCATTCGGCTGTATTTCCCACCCTCTGGTTTAGGGTGATCTAGCTCTCAAGCCCTTGATGGGCATTTTCTTCAGTGGAAAGGTTCTGGCTGTCCTGCCTTGCCTTCTCTCCACCCGGACTCTGTGCCTGATGGCCTCAGTCCTCTCTCGGCCATCCCCTGGTCCTCAGGAGTGAATGGGGAACCTGAGAAATCTTGCCTAAGACCCAGAAAATGCCCCCCACCCCCGTCCTCCTGGCCTCCCCTGATCTCTGCCCTCTCCACCTCCTCCTGCCTCATCTCTGTCCCACTTCGACCACCTCCCTCCTTGCCCCACCTGGGCCCATTACCAAAGACTCCTCTGGATCCCTCTTCCTCCCTTCTACTTTTCACCTCTGTCCCCCTCTGATCTGGCCCTCCCTTTCTCGGCCCCAGCCAACCCTGCCCCCATCACTTTCCTGTCCCAGCTCTGTCTCCCAGTAACCGGAGCCCATCTCTCCTTCTTCCTCCTATTCCTTCTCTGTAGCATCTACCCGTCCCCTTTCCCCTGTCCCTGTTATCTATCCCCTTATATCCTTTTCTCTCCCTCCCTGAGCTCCTTCTTCCCCACCTCATCCCATCTCCTTTCCTGTTTCCCTGAGACTCACCTACTTGTTTGATTATGGGCAAGGCCTTCCTCCCTTGGTACCTACCCTCGTTCCCTTCCCTCAGGAAGATCAAGGTGGCTCCCCAAAGTCTAGAACACTCTCCTTCTGAGAAAGAGAGAGAGAGAGAGAGAGAGAGAGAGAGAGAGAGAGAGAGAGAGAGCCCTTTCAGAGGAGAGGTTGGGATGGTGGCGGCTGTCTGGCCACATGCTGCCCCATTGTAAGCTGCTGGGCCTCCTCCCATCTCCCTCTGTTCTTCTTGAAGGGCATGACTCACACAGCCCCATTCCAGGTAAGGGGCTCCTTTGGTGTCCTGGGCTCAGGGTGGAGGGGCAGAGCCTTGCTTGCAACACACACACACACACACACACAGACACACACACACACACGCACCTGAGGACAGATCAAGAGAAGTCAACTCATGCAAGAAGAGACAGCTACACTCAAGGGACCTCCTCAGTGGTCAAGAGAGCCTAGTTCCTGCGGGGACCCAAACCTTTATGGTGGAGGACACAGGTGCTCCCAAGCCGCCTGACCCCCTACCTCCAAGTGGGCTGCTGAGACCATCTTCCTATGGCAAAGGAAGAGGGCAGCGGCTTGTCCGAGTTCCCTGGGAATCAGACACAAGGCCTTGGTGCCCAGGGAAGGTGCCCACTCTCTCAGAAAAGGACACCAGCATACGTGCATGGAGTGGTCCTGCCTCAGAGGCCTCGTGCCACCTGCGACTCCATGCCCAGAAGGTAGGGTGGGACTTAATTCCTAAGTCAGTTTCCCAACAGGCTGAGTTCAAGCCTTTGGTTCCGCGACTTGGGAAAAAGTCCCTCCAAGATCCTCCAAGGGCACTCATGAATCCAGCCAGCCAGGGACAAGATGCCCAGCCAGACAAGGGAAGAAGAGAACCTGCTGATGCCCTATGAGGAGGATGGAGGCAGGTGATACGGAGTGCCGAGCACCAGCCAGTGCCACCCCCAGCCGAAGTGTGGAGCCACGGATTAGGCTGTTATGAAAGTCTACCCGGGCACCTCACCCCAACCTCTCAGCTTGTCCTATCAACAGGGCTGGCATGGAGCCATCCTAGCTAGCTGCTGGGGGGGAGCAAGCCAACAGGATCATAGGATAAAGAGAAGACCCGACTTAATTCCATTCAGTAAACATTTATTAAGTGTCTGCTATGTGCCAGGAGCTGGGAATACTAGTACGAATATGGAAACAGTGCTTGCCCTCAGAGAACTTACATTCATTCATGAGGCTCCCACACCATGCTCCACCTCCAAGCCCCTCTTCTGCTGAAACCCCTGACATTTGGACGTTCTTTCTTTCAACGCCCAAATATCCTGGCCCCACTGGGTGCAGCTTGCTTCCCCTCAACAGCTCCGGCTATTCAGAGCCTCCATACCCAGTGGGATCGCCTTCCATAGAGTTCATTTTAAGAAGAGGCTGAAAACTCTGATGGTCAAGGCAGGCTTGAAAGTGTGACTCTGAAGGGCAGGGCAGCACTTGTTAAGGTTACTCCTTTCTAGGATTCAGTGATTCTGAGCCGTATACCCACTCACTTTCTATGCTAGCCGCTAGTCCGTGACATGCTTCAGCTGCCCTAAATTACCACTGGGAACACCCAGAGCGTGTGAATCCATGCTATCTTAAAAACGCCCTTTCTCCAACTTCCATCCCACTGTGAAGCCAAGTCTACCACCACCAGCACCCCCCGCAACACCCATCCTCCAGCTCCCAACCAACCCCTCAAACCTAGTTATAGCTGCCTGCTCAGATGCTGTGAAGGCCCCACAATCTCAGCCATGCAGAGAGGACTCCATTCACCAGTGAAGGTCACAACCCATCTGGGTCCTCACGCTCAAATCTCTTCTGTGCTCAAAAGCAAAACTGAGAGCTGCTTAGCCTCCTCCAACTCCAGTATCAGTCCACCAGCAAATCTTCATCGAGGACCTGTTTTGTGGCTTCACTCCCCACCTCACTGCCATCCTCACCATCCCATGGCTCGCTCTTCATTCCCTCCCCTCCCCCTCAGCGATCATGGCAAAAAGCCCTGACTTGGAATGGAAGGTAAAGGTTCTAGTCTCAGCTTTGCCACTTTCCAGCTTTGGGATTGTGAGCAAGAACCTTCACTCTCTGAAGCTGGCTCTCCTTGTCTGTAAAATGGACGTATAGTCCTTGTACACACTGCCTCCCAGCACTATCACTAATGTCCTCTAGCCATTGACCCTTCCCAGAACTGATGATCCTCAATGCCTAGCCTTCAGAGGCAGTGTGGTTTGGGGGTGGGGAGATACTTGAAAACAACAGGGTCCAATCTTAACTCGTAATCTGGACCTCAGTTTCTTAATCCTTAAAATGAGGGGGTCAGATGAGAGGACTTCTAGTCCATGGTCCCTTCCAGTTCTAAATCCATGATGCTACCTTTAATATTTACCTCCCAGGTTTGTTGTGAGCACAAAACAAGGTCATGTGGGGAAAACCATTTTGCAAACCTTAAATTCCAATGCCAGTTATCACTATTATTGTTGTTGTTGCTAATGGCGGAAATGGTGGACTTGGAATCCAGAGACCTGGGGTTTGGACTCTGGCTCTGATGTCGTGCTAACTGCGTGATAGTTGGCAAATCACATTAACTCCCTGAGCCTCAGTTTCTTCATCCATAAAATGGATCTAATAGCTCTACCAGCTTTCCTCATGAAATTGTTGTAACCCTTAGGATAGTATAGAAATTTGAGTTACTATTATCATTATGACCTGGCTCAGAGGCTCATTAATGTGACCAAAGATTAATAGAGGGAGACTGCTGTTAATTGATTGAATCACAAACCCACTGAGATCCAATCAACCCACTGACAAGTATGTCTTAAACCCTACTATGTGCTGGGCACTATGCTAGGTGCTGGAAATAGAAAGATAAATGAAATTGTTCCTGCCTTCAAGGAGCTTATAATCTAGATGGGAGATGAATTATCTGACCTCTGAGGTCCCACCTATGGTTTGCCCATCCCTTCCCAGCACCCTTACCTTTCCATGGGGAGAGTGGTGGTTCTTTACTCTAGCAAAATGGTGGAACCAATGTCCTCCAACATGAACTGCTTTCCTTTCATTCAAGAAATGTTTATTAAGCATTTGCTATGTCCTGAATGCCATAGCAGATACCAAGTTTTTATAAGAAATAGTCCCTGCCCCATAGGCTCACCCAGTCTCATGAGTGGACAAAACCCCAGCACAGATGTACATAGCATTACCTGACAAGGACATTGGAGACATCCAAGCAAAGCATTAAGTCCAATATCAAACCTTTCCCTCCTCCTCCCTCAATTCTGGAAAAAAAAAAGAAATTTCACCCACAACATCCTGGCTCCCGAAGGTTGTAGCATTCAGGCCTGTGGAAGGTTGGCACTTATGGAGAAGAGGCTTTTGGAGTTCACAGAGGGCCAAAAGAGCATCAGAAAATGCATTAACTAGGGGAGACATGGTGGTGTTTTGTTTCTGGAAGCCAGATGGAATTTTACCAAGTCAAAAAGAGCAAAGAACAAAGGGGAGGAGATTTCAGGGCAGGCAGGAGTGTAGGGGGATGTTATTTCCCCAAAGTTAGAGAAAATATCAGCTAAGTCTGCTGTCCTTGTCCACCAGACAGGAATGATACACTCTACCCCTTGGTGATATCCATTTCTATTTCAGACCAACTCACCTTCTCCACTGCCACCCTTTCTGGCCCTTTTCAGATCTTTTCCACCACCTTCTCCTCTAAGAAATAAGCATTTAGGGGCAACTAGGTAGCACAGTGGATAGAGAACTGGCCCTGATGTCAGGAGGACCTGAGTTCAGATCCAGCCTCAAACCAAACACTTGACACTTACTAGCTGTGTGACCCTGGAGCAAGTCACTTAACCCCAATTGCCTTGCAAAAAAAAATAGAAAAAAAGGAAAGAAGCATTTAAAAAATGTTTTTATTTTTAAATTATTTTTTGTTTTAAATTTTTTAATTTTATTTTTTCAGGGCATCTAGGTGGTGCAGTGGGTAGAGTACCAGCCCTGGAGTCAGGAGGACCTGAGTTCAAATTTGGCCTCAAATACTTAACACTCACTAGCTGTGTGACTCTGGGCAAGTCACTTAATCCCAATTGCCTCATTAAAAAAAAATTATTTTTTCCAATTTCATGTAAAAACAATTTTTAACACTGGTTTTTAAAAAAATGTTTGAGTTCCAAATTCTCTCCCTTCCTCCCACCTCCTTAAAAGACCAAGCAATTTGCTATCAAGTATATCCATATATATATATAATCATATAAAACCTAAGAATAAGTGTTATTATCATCACACTGCGACTACATGTAACATTTTATACTATTCAAAGTGCTTCAATGATCTCATTTTTGGTGATAGTAATCCACATTTATGTGGGGGAGAGTTTCTTAACCTTTTATTATACCATGACCCTTTGGGTAGTGTGGTGAAGCCTTCCATGATCATATTTTAAAATGCATAAAATAAAACACATAAGATGATGAAGAAACCCAATTATATTGAAATTAGCCCAGCACCTGGCACACAGTAAGTGCCTAATAAATGCTTGTCGACTTGGAAATATTGTTATCAAAATATTTTAAAAACAAGTTCACAGACTCTCAGGTCAAGTGAAACCTTGTGCTGATGCTCATGAAATGCTTTAAATCTCCAACCCATCAAGGTATTAAATACAGGGGGCCTCCCCATTTTATGGATAAGAAACCCATTCTCATCTTGGTCATATAGTGGTGGAGCTGGGATTTGAGCCTAGGGCTTCTGGCTCCAGGACCAGTGCCCTCTCCACTACCCTATTCTCCCTTCTCTAGCACATTCTCATGCCCACCAGGTCCACCTTCTGAGACACCTCCCCCTTTCCCCTTTTGTTCATTCCTTTTAGACTCCCACCATCTCTTGCCTTCTCAGAGGACCAGCAAGGTTGGTTGTCTTCCGCAAAGCAAACCTAGCCAATTCTTATGCCATTAGGCAGGAGGAAGACGTAGCTGGCTCCTGCTGCTAGATGCCTCAACACGAGCTCTGAGCTCTCTCTTCTTCCAATAGCTTTGTATCTCCTCCCTGGTTTTGTTCATACCTTCCAATGACTCCCTTCCTCAAAAAATATCCTTGCTCTCTGCATCATCCATCGAACTGGTCCATCCTCTTGTCTGTGCTGATGTCCTTTTAGAACTTCCTTAGTGAAGCCTGGTTTTCCCACTTTGCTACATCCATCACAACTTTCACCCTCTCCAAGTCTCCTCCTTCACAGTCCAAGACCTTCTTGGACTATCTTTTAGTGAAGGGTCCCTGGGCTAGCATCAAACCATGCCCCGCTCCTCTCGGATTCTTCAACCCGGCTCCCTCTTGGGGAGATGGCTTTGAAATGTATCATAGCCAAACTGGAGAGTGAAAGGTTCTAACACCAGAAGCATTTGGATGATCCTGACGCAGAGAGGCTCCTTAGCTTAGAGGCTCTTGTGTCTCTGGGGCCAGAAGAAGAGGGAGCATCAATTTGATGCCACGTTTTCCTTGCACCCAGCCGAAGCTGCTTGGAGAGACATCTCTCCTTCATCTCCCAATGGTCTAGAGGGCTCAGATCTTGTCTGCTTGCCCTCTGAGGCTATGTTAGTGGTATCATAATGCCTAGAATGAAGGAGGTAATTTGATTACCAAAATAAAACAATGGGGCAGCTAGGTGGCGCAGTGGGCAGAGCACCAGCCCTGAAGTCAGGACCTGAGTTCAAATATGGCCTCAGACCAAACACTTGACACTTAACTAGCTGTGTGACCCTGGGCAAGTCACTTAACCCCAATTGCCTTAAAAAAAAACAAACAAAAACAAAAAACTAGAATGTAAATGGTCCTAATGTAGTAGTAAGAACACCCTGTCTTCTGCAGTGAAATTCTAGCCTATTCAGTTGGACTCAGCAAGTGGTCGAATGGGTCGGTCAGCAAACCTGCATGCTGCCCTAGACAGATCACATCTGGAGCACTGTGTTCAGGTCTTGATGCCATTTCTTAGGAGAGACGTTAAGACAAATGAATGAATACGTAGGAGGGTGCCCAGGATTTTGAGGGCACTGGAGACCATGCTATTCGAGGATGGAGTGAAGAAACTGGGAACGTTAAGCCCAGAGTGGAAAAAATGTGATCTTTCTCTGTCTTCAAGTAAGCCAAAAGGCTATTCCATGGAAGAAGAATCAGACCTGTTCTTCTTGGTCCCCAAGGCCAAAGCCGGAAGCAATGAGGAGGAGACAGCATGGTGGTGCAGGGGAAAGATGCTGGAGCTGGAGTGCTGAGTCCTGAGTTTGAATCCTGGCTCTGCCTGTAACCTTGGGCAAGTTGTTCCACCTCCAGAATGAAGGGATTGGACCCCGTGACCCCCGAAGTCCCCACTAGCTTTAAATCTGATCGGATGAAAGTTACAGAGGCCAAATTCAGCCTAATTCCTAACCATCAAAACCGTCCCAAAGTGGAAATTCCTGCTCCCCTTACTGGAGTGCTGCAAACAAGCTGGAGGACCATATGTTAGGTATGTTCTAAGGGTGATTCCAGTTTGGGTCCAGGCCGGACGACACACCCTCTTGAATCCCTTTCCCTTTTGGGGTGCTGGACGGTAGTAGCCTATGACCTGAGTCAAGTAGGTCAGGGTCTGTAACCCTCCCCAGCTAGGGGGCATTTTCCTGAATGGAAACCTGAATAAGACCCAGAGACCAGAATCAGTCCCAAGTCCAATGACCCTGGGGTGCCCTGGTCCCCAAGGTCCCCACCAGGTGTTCCAAGAGCCTTCTACTAACCCTCCTCCTCCCTCCCCCTCCCCTCTCTCCCAGATTGCAGCTTTTGCCCTTTGTCCCATGAGGATGAGCTTTGGGTCTGGGCCACGGACACCTCCTCTCCTCTCCCTCCCATTCTCTCCTTCTACGGCTATTGACAATGCTGAGTGTGTTTTTTCCTTCCTCCAGAGTCGGTTTCTTATGCTTTTTTCTCTCTCTTTTCTCTCCCTTCTCTCCTTCCTTCCCTTTCTCGCTCGCTCGCTGTCTCTGGGGCCTCCTCGTCTCGCTGCCTGGCTGGCTGGCTGGCGGGCTGCCCCGTCCTGGGCAGGGAAGGCCGGATGGTGGTGCTATCCTTGGTGTTAGGGCTCTCGGAACAGGATGACTTTGCCAATATCCCTGACCTGCAAAACCCAGGAACTCAACAGAACCAGAGCGCTCAGGGGGACAAGAGGTATGAGCAAAGGCGAGGCCCCTCCGGCCACAGCAGGAGGAGGAGGCGCAGAGAGGGTCCCCCAACCCCAGCCCTGCCCAGGGCTGGAGGAAGAGGAGGAAGAGGCCCCACCCGCTGGAGTCTCTCACTGTCAGCTTGGGGAGGGGGGTGGAGGATACCTCTCCCCCCCCCCCCCCCAGGTGGATACCTTTCAATCTCATCACCATCTCGGTGATGCTCTCTCAGGCCTGAGGTCACTCAGACCATCCTGGGACCAATCTGGATCACACCTGCACTCCCAGGCTCTCCCCCTGCCTCCCACTCCTCTGTGAAGGGAGCGACCCCCAGCTCTGCCCCCTTCCATCTTCCCGTTCAGCTCCTTCCTGCTGCCTACATCTTTCATCCCTGCCTGCCACTCCTTGGAAATCCCTGTTTCTCTGGTGGTTGGTGAGTAGGGAGATGTTAGGGATATGTCAGGCATATGCGCCTGAATTCCCTCATCCCCCACCCCAACCTCCTCTTGGCCTCTGGGGTTCCCTGAGCTCAGGGGGCTTCACCCTGCCCCCGACTTCAGGGGAACGCCGAGGTGGAACTGAAAATCTAGAAAAGGAGGCTATATTCAGGAAGGATGCAAGGGCAGTGATAAAAACTAGCAGGGTTGAGGGGGAGAGGCCACCCCTGGGAAGGGTCACTGCTAGCTGGTGGGAAGAGATGGCAGAAGCCCAGTCGTCAGAGCCCCAGGCCCCGCAGCTCAGGCCGATTCCAGGCCCCAGGTTGGGATGAGGACAAGGTAGGGCTTATGGAAAGAGGCCAGGGCTGTGCCAATAGGGTAGGCAGTATAGCCATAGGCAGAGGCTAAGCAGGAAGGATGTAACTGAACTTTCCAAACTGGAGCCCCAGGCACCCTGTGGAAAGCACTCCAAGTAGCAGCTGGGACCCAGCACCTTTGTAGGACAGGGTCTGGGAGAGGGGAGGGTTCAGGTGCAGGAGGGGTCAAGGCTACCCAGCCCTGGCCAGAGGTCCAGAGCTGCCCAGTGCCACCTAGGCCTGGTGCTGGCCTCCCCTGCCCGGGCTTCCAGGCCACTCCAGGGACCTCGTGCAGGCTCAGCTGCCTGGCTCGCTCCTGGGCCCAACTTCCTGACGGAGGAGGGCAGACGGACCGCAAGGCCCAGTGCAAAGATCATAGAAGTCAGAGTCAAGTGACTGCTCCAGCTTAAAACCTGAGCCCTCCTGACTTCTCCCCTGAACAACCTTTTTCCCATTCAATTCAGTAGGCATCTACCATAGGGAAGGGAACAAATACCTACTATGTGCCAGGTACCCTATTTGTAGCTTGGGCATACAAATCGCATATACAGCAGTCCCTGCCCTCAATGAGCTTACATTCTACTGGGAAAATATAATGTGCACTTGCCATCTCTGGGACTCAGTTTCCCCCTCTGTAAAACAAGGGAGACAGGCCTGGTAATTGTGAAGGTCCCTTCCAACAAGCCTGTGATTCTCCGACAGACAAGGCCCTAAGCAGAGTGCTGGTCACCTTGGCTAATTCTACTTGTCACATTAATGAGAGTTGCAGGGTCTGGAGCCCTGGGCGGTGAGCTTGTCACATCTTGTATGCCAAGCCGGGGTGGGGGGTGGAAATGGGGTTCTGTTTCCCAGGGAGACCTTGAAACTTAGGAAGAGATCCTCGAGGGATAGGAAGAGACCAGGTGACCTTGTGGAGGGGGGAAAGAGGGAGACCTTGTTGGCAGCTGGGCGCGGGGCTCCGGACCCCTCGAGCTGGGACACTGATTCTTCCAGCCCCCTGGTGTCTCCTGGAAACAAGCTGTCTCATTGGCTTCCCTGCCAGACCCAGTGGCTGCATCATCTGGGCCATCCCCACCCAGAAGTGGCTGCATGTCTGGGGTGAGCCAGGTCAGAGCTTGGGAGGAGGGAGGGACAGGGGAGTCAGACTGATTTCCTTTGGTTTGTGGCATGCCTTGGCACCATCCCAGCACGCCCAACGAGACTCCAGGATCCTGGCCCCCCTCATGCCCATGGGCATTTCATTTGGGTCCCACCTCCCTCCTACCACCTCCATGGCCCCCGCCAGAGATGCCACATTGTCCTTTCCGGCTAGAGCCTTGAAACTGGGAGAGCCTGAGGGGCAGGGAGGGGAGAGAGGTGGTAGAAAAGGCTGGAACCCTTCCGGGAGCCACAAAAAACAAGGTGTGAAGCGTGAGGGAGCAGATGTAGGCTGGAAACAAGATTTCACATTACCCATGTGCTAATTAGCTGGCACCATTTTCACCCACAGCCTATTTTTACCTTCATGTTACTTGGCTTTCACACCATACTTGAATGCATCCCATCTGATCCATACATCAGCTTGGCCCCCTGTCCTTTCCACCAGACACTGGGAAAGGTGGGTGGTGGGGTCAGAGCCTTCTGCCCCCTGGATGGACTCCAAGGTTCCCTCCCGCTCTAAATCTGAGATCCTAGGAAGACCCCATCCCCGTTCCCATCCTCCTCCATCCCATTTCTCCCACCCTGACTAGTGTGACCCCCACCCTCTGCCACCAGGCACTCATCTCTGCTCCTTCCCTTGGGGTCCTCAACAGGCCCCTGCTCCCTGCCTTTGGGATGGTCCCCAGGGGTGAGCTGGAGGACATTAAGAATTTTCTTCCTCCCAATTTAGAGCTGCCACCATCCCACCTATCCACACTGCCCTAAAGGCCACCATGGAGAACAGCTCCTTGCCTCCATCTCTCCCCCAAGACCCCAAGTTATGTCTTTGAGTATAACAGGGAAAGTTGGAGCCTAAGCTTATGAATGGGACATCAGCCGCCCTGATGGGGCCATACTGGGTGGGGTGGGGGCTCCAGGCACCAGTCATGGATGGGGGCGGGCAGAGAGCTCAACCTTTCACTATAGGAGAAGAGGTAGACACAGTGAGATCAGGTCTCAGAGGGTGGCAGGCTGCTTTATGACAGACACCAGGGATGGTAATTGAGGGTTCTCAAATCCCCTTCCACCCTGTTCATTCCCCTCTAATCTATAGCACCATAAGAGGCAGGATGGTAGACTGGAAACAGGGCTGAGTTTGGAATCAGAGGACCCAGGTTCTAATGCTGCTTTTATTATGACCTGTGTGACTCTTGCCTTTTCGGGGCCTCAGTTTCCCAATCTGTAAAACGATGACTTACATTTGGATTTTTAAGACTTCCAAAGCTCTTCATGCCTTTTGTCTGCATGGTACAATGAAATGAGTGCTACATTTGGCATCAGAGGGCCTGGGGTTCAAATCCCAGCTTTATCCTTCACTCCATGCATTAGTTTGAGGAACCTGAGGGTCCCTTGGGTCCTGAGTTCAGTTTCTTTATGTGTCATGATGGGGGGGATTCAAACACTTTTGAGGTCCCTCCCAGCCCTAATTTCACAAGATTCTATACAATCACTCCCTGGCCTTCAGTTTATGTCAAATGCGGGGGGGGGGGGGGGCTAAGTGACCACTAGGGTCCTCCCCAGCTCCAAAGCCATGAAAAAGACTGAAAAACTTCCCTTTGGTCCTTACCAAGCAAGGTACCCCAGTATAATTGTCCCTAGCTGTCCAGAGGAGGAAACTGAGAGTCTGAGATGACCCCATGGTTCCCTGCCTCCCCTGAGTCTCGCATGCTGCCCAGGGAGGCTGTGCCGGATGGGTCTGAGGGCCCTCCCAGCTCGCCATCTCAGAGCCACCCTCCTCCACCCCATCTGGCCCAGCTCCGGGCCCTTGGGACAGCTGTCTCTGTCCCTCAGCACTGTCACGGCTGCCTGGGCCCCAGCATCTGTCTCCCATCATTGTTGGGGAAAACAATTAGTCTGCTCCGGATGGTAACAGGCTCATAAAGCGAATCTCCCTGGAGACCAGGAGGGCCATGAGTGGGGGTGAGAGCAGGAGGGCTGGCCTGGGGTCCCCGCTGCCCTCGATCCCCAGGATAGTCAGGGATTGGGAGGGCAGTCAGACCAGAGGAAAGGAAACTGGGGGAAATAAATGGGGGGCCAAGATGGGAGCTGGGCATTTGAGGGAGGGGTGGCCCACCCTCCTCCTAGTTCTTCCCTCTGTGAAATGAGGGGGTTGGACCCAGTGATCCCCAAGGTCCTCATCCAGGCCTAGATCTGTGATCTGGGGATGGTGTCAGTGACTAGCCCTGGTGCCTTCCAACAGCCTTGCTCTGGGGAAGCGCCCTGAGAGTTTGAATGGCCAGCTGTGGTCCCCGTTGCCCCCGAAAAGGTCTTTAAAATGCCCTCAGCCCTGCCCCATCCCCGTGTAAGAGTGCCCCAGGTGCCCTGCACCCCTCCAGCTCCCCCATCTCTGGCTCTGCCCATCCCAGCCTCACCACTCACTCCACGCCTCATCTCTGTCTCCATTTCAGCCTCTCACCCCTCCAGCTGCACCTTTTCACAGTCATCCCCTCGGGGATCCAGATGGTTTCAGCCGTAGGCCCCCTGTTTGGGGGAAGGGGGGAGGGGGCTACTCCCACTGCTCTCCTTGCTCAAGACTCTGCCATGTTCTTCTTGTCCCTCGGTGTGTGCTCCTGCCCTCCTCTCTGCCTCTCCTCCCGGCCATCGCCGCTCCACCTTGTCCGCCCCAGTGGCCGCCCCCCCCGCCCCCAAACGTCTCGTGCCTGCTTTTTCTCTGACTAACCTCTCTCCCTGTCTCTTTTCTTCTCCTTTCCATCTGCTCCTCACAGGGGACCGACCCTCAGCCAGTGACTGAGGCCTTTCCGCTGGCTCTGTCTCTCTGTCTCTCTCTGTCTCTCTTGGCCCCTCGTTTTCTCCCTCTCTGTCCTGTGACCTCTGACAGCCTCAGCGGCTCCATCCTTCTCCCAGGCTGCTTTGCAGCTGCGCTACTGCTCTGGTGTTTCCAAAAGAATTCCACGTTTTTCCATACCTTCAGCCGTCAATTTCTCTCTTTCTCTCCTCCTGTCCCGCTCTCTATTTTTAACCTGACTTTACCTCTCCAGCTATTTCAGTCTCCTCCTTCCTCCCTGTGCCTGTGTCTGCATGAGCACGTGTCCTCTGTGTGTGTGTGTGTGTGTGTGTGTGTGTGTGTATGTGCGTGTGTGCGCGCGCGTGTGTGCATCTCCTCTCTGGGAGACAGTGGTCATGGTCTTGGGGTGTGTGTGTGTCTTGGTTGGGGGAGGAGGGTGGGAGGCAGGTTGTCATGCTGTGTTTGCCGCGCTGAGACCAGGCGTGTATGTGTACGCGTGTGCACACGCCCCGGATCCTCCCTTGCTTCCACACACCCTCCACTCCCCCCCCCCCGCCCTAATTCAGTGTGTACTAATTCACACACAAACCTCGGCGTGCCCAGGCTCCCCTGGGCAGTCTTTCTCTCCACTGTGCTGCCCGTGCCAGTCCCTCGCTGGCTGCTATCCCAGGGGAGGGGGGTGTATTTACATGTGTTTATGCGTGTGTCCCTTCCTCCCACTGTCTGACTGGGGTGTCTTCTTACCGGGGCCTTGGCACGTCTGACTGCATGTCCGACTGGGCCCCGTGTGTGCTTGCTCTCATTCTCTGCTGGCGTGCCCTGCTTGTGTCCGGTCTGTGCGTCTCCAGAGACGGGCCGTGGCCCCGGTGCTCCCAATGCCATTCTATTCAAGCTTGTCCTCAGCTTCACGCTACTGGTCTGTCTGCCTCACCTTCACCTGCCTGCTCCCTCGTCCTCTTCCTGGGATGCTCCAGCCTGGTCCCCATCCATTCACTTTCCCTCTCTGCTGAGGGGTGAAGGGGGGCCCAGGTTCAGCCACCAGCCAGCCGTAAGGACCCCTCCCAGGGAGTAGCCAGGGAGCCTGTCGAAAGGATGTGGCCTCCCCCAGCCTAGGCTGGTGGTGGACAACGGGCCCGAGGAGGCAGGTGGACCAGACTCAGGGCCTCTCATAAGACCCCCAGGAGCATCTACCTTGAGACACCTTTCCCATGGATGGGAGGTAATAAGAAAGGGACCTTCTGATCCCCAAGAATTCTTAGATGGGGAGAAAACCTTGCCAGAGTGTGGGGATCTCAAATCGGGGAGCAAGGGAGGGGTTAGGAGATTCAGTCAATGGCTACATCAGTTTGGTGGGGGTGGGGGGAGGGAGGGAGGGAGAGTCTCCTCGGCACATTGAGTCTCCTCACTCCCACGACATCAATCCATCCTTCCCTGCCCCCTGAAGGGCTATGTTGGCGCCAAGTCTAATGCCCTGGCAGCTGTGTCCTATCTGAATCTCCTCCCGTCAGCCTGAGCAAACACAGGTGGGGGCCTCTGAGTGACAGACGGTTGGGGCATGTTTGTAGAGGGTAATGATGTGTAGATGTGACCTGGGAGCTCCCAGCTGGGCCTCCTGCCACCTGGGGTGGGTGGGCCCAGGAAAACTAATGGAGGGGCAGGGTTGGGGGTCGGGAGAAGGAAGGAGGTGGGTGGTGCTTGGGAGGGATCACTTCCATTGTAGGAGAAAGCCATAGAGATCATGGGCACTCCCAGAAGGAAGGGCCAAGGAGGACAGTAAATGAGAGAGCTAGAAATGAAGCCAGGGAAAGCCTATCTCTCAGGAACTTGAGTCCTGGGGGAGTCCTCAAAGCGTCTGTAGGGCCCATTGGAAAGAGCTGAAGGAGCTGATAAACTGAGCCCCCAGGTTTAGGCCCCAGGGAAAAAAACAGCAGGGGAGGCTCACCCCAATGGAATGAGGGTGAGAGAGAGAGCATCCCTGCAGCTAAGCCGGAAGCCAGCTGATGCCTGTGGGGAAGACATAGAGAACCCCCGGGGGTGGGTGCGTGGTCAAGGAGCAGGCAGGATGCAATGGGGCAGAAAGTGAGCATCGGTGTGATGGGGGAGGCAAGCGCCAGGAGGCCCAGAGTGCTGGCCTGAGCTGGCAGCGGGAGGGTTGGGGGAGGAGGGGGAGGAGCCTACGGCCCATGTACGTAAGGTTGACCACCTGCCCGGTGCCTGCCCCACACCACCCTCCAGCCAGATGTTCATTCAGACTCTTTTCCTAGGTTGCCAGCAGGTGGGAAGGCGGTGAATACAACCCCTGTCCCGGGCCAAACACCCCACGATGAGTCCGACCGCCGGACCGAGCCTCGGTCTTCTGTCTCAGACCTTGTCAACTCCCTCACCAGCGAGATGCTTATGGTGAGGAGGATGGGGTGGGTCTGTGTGGGAGGTGGAAAGGAGGAAGGTGAGCCATGCCCCCTCCCTTAACTGTAACTAGAGTCAGAGAGAGTGTGATGTTGGAGGCTGGGGCATCTGGGAAAGAGGTCTGGGGTTCCTGTCTGACATGTGAGTTAAGGGAAAGTCCTCAAGACAGGCTGAACAGCTTTGTGGGAAGCACCTACTATGTGCGTGTGTTCCCTGGCTCCTTTGGGAGACAGTGTGGAATACTTCGAAGAGCACTGGGGTCCAAGGCCCTGGGCTTCAATCTCAGCTCAGAAAACGATCAGCCCAACAGCTAATATGGCACATTACTGTTTGCAATGCACTTTATTAACACTCTCTTATTCGATCCTCACAATAAGCCCTCTAAGGGCTTATCATTATTCCCATCTTACAGATGAGGAAACTGAGGCAGGGAGTGATTAAGTGACTTGCCTGAGGTGAACTTAGAAATGTCTGGAGGAAGATTTGAGTTCAGGTCTTCCTGACTCCCAGTCTGGCACTATGCCCACTATGCCTCACTTGATCTTGGGCAAGTCACTTAACTGCTCTGTGCCTCAGTTTCCTCATATGTAAAATGAGGCAGTTAGAGTCCATGCCTTCTCCAGTCCTTTCGAGCTCTGGATCTCCTGTGGGTTCCCATGGTCCTGCAGGGCTGGGAGTGATCATGGCGGGGGAGGATGGATAGGCGGTGGCAGAAATTATCCACAGTAGGGGCTAAACCAGTATTGGTCCAGTGAGTGAATGAGTTTGGACTTGTAGGCTCATCTCTGAGCGACATTGAGTGAGTTGCTTCACCTCTCTAGGACTCAGTTTCCTCATTTGTCAAGTAGAGACTATCGCTCCTACCCTCCCTCCCGACCTAGCAGGGTCTTTGTGAAAGATAAAATGAGACTACAGAGAATGAAAGCCCTTTGAGATCAATCATTAGTGGCCCTGATCAAAGGGAAGAGAGTCCTGTTTTCACAGAGGAAGAGACCGATGAGTAGGAGGAACTGAGGCCAGAGGAAGTGCCTCAATTAGCCAGGATCATCTTGGGTCTCTCACTTGGTTTTTAGTTGTCCTTTCCTCTTACAGCTAGGAGGAGTTGGGACGGGGGACCTACAGTCCCTGACCTCTCCTGAGGCCGAGCTAGCGTAGAGTTGGGGGCCCATGTGACCTGACCTTCTCCCTATCAGATCTGCTGCAAGAGTGAGCCCCTTTGGGGGATTTGATCTGACTGGGGTTGGGGGATCTCTGACTGAACCACACCTCCGAGGGAATGCCCTAGCGGGGCACTGGGGGATGGGAGGTAAGGCCTATCATGGTGGGAAAAGCACTGGGTAGCAGAGGACAGCAGAATCTTAACTCCCGAGCTGGATGGGAACTCAAAGGCCACTAGTTCAATCCCCTCATTTTACAGGTGAGGAAACTGAGGCCCAGGGAGGGGAAGTGACATTCTAGGTTCCCACAGGTATAGCAAGGAACAGCTGAGATTTGGACCAGATGAGTTCTAAGTTTTCTTGCAGCTCTGACATTCCTCGTTCTCTGCTCTGGGGTCTCATATGGAGCTCTCCATTCCACGTTCTATGTTCTAAGGTTCCTTCCAGCCTGGACATTCTGTAGTATTGTGTGACTCCCCCCCCCTGCCATAAAAGCACCGTGATGGTTCATCAGGGGCCCCGCTCATCAACTGTAGACTCCTGTGATCCCAGAGAGCCCCCGAAATGGCTGACCTGCAGGGGCGGGCATCCTCATCCTAGTTAGCATTTGTATGGTGCTTTATGGTTGATGATACACCCTTACATGGATCACCAGAGGGTGGGAGTTCAGGGTGATAATTATTATTATCCCCATTTTACAAATGGGAAAACTGAGGCTGAGAAAGGGGGAATGACTTGCCTGAGGCCACAGAGCTCCTAAATACCTGAAACAGGGCTTGAATGCACACCTCTGGATGGGAGCCCAGTAGCCATTCTACCGGAGGCGGGTCTGTGCAGAGATGAACTGGGGGAGGGGGGAGGTGAAGGGGGAGCAGAATATCCTTCTGGGGTTGAGCTGGATTCCTCTTCCAGCATACTGGGGAAATCACGTAGCTGCTGGGAAGGAATACTAAGGTGTGCAAGGCCTTTCTAGATGAAATCTCATTCAGTCTTCACAGCATCCTTGTGAGGCAGATGCTGGGAATATCGTCATTGTACAGATGAAGGAGCTGACAGTGAATGCCCAGGGTCACACAGGCAGTGTCTCAGACACATTCGAACTCAAGTCTTGTGGCCTCCAAGTCCAGCCCGAATTTACCCAGGTGTCCCCGGGTAACAGGGGCTCTTCATGCATGACTTGAGCCTGGATGGAATGCGATGGAGTTAGCTCTGAGGCCGCAGAGGGGCACGTCCCTGGCTCTGCAGCTCCTGCTGCCCGTGTCTTTGCTGTCCTGTCAGATCAGACACAGCCCTGCTGGGCTGGCCTCTCCTTCTGGCTCTCCTCTCCCTCTCAGGCTCCCCGGGCCCGACTCCTTCGGCCAGCTTCGAGGTACTGACCTCGCCCAGCAGCCTCTTTTCTCCATCCATTCAGCCAATCCTGGGACGCCTAAACTGATTCCAAGTCTGTTTGGAATTCCGTATCTCTCAGGGACTTTGTCTCCCGATCTCCCATCATCTCCGTTTCTGCTCAGACAGATCTAATTCCCGTGATCCTTCCTGGTCAGCGGCATCCTCCCCACACCTCCCTGAATGTCCTTTTGATTATTTCCTGGAGGCAGGGCTCCCAGAAGGCCCGGCCCTGACGTGCAGCTGCCTCTGGTGTCTTACCCACTGGAGGCGATGGAGGCAGATGGAGAGAGGAAGGCCAGGACTGGTTCCCCATCTCCTGGTTTCCAGGGAGGAGGAGGACAGAGTGGAATTAGCCGGAGATAGACCAGGTCATTAGCTCTCATAACAAGGTTCAAGGCAACAACTGGGAGAGGGATAATTGCTCCCAAGTTCTTTGCTCCAATCTGCCACTCAGTGGTCAGAGTCAGAGAACCCGGTTATGAATCATGACTTTGCTGCCCGCCACCTTGCCAGGGGCAGCCTGGCCTTGTGATCAGGGCACTGGATTGAGTCACGGAACCTTCATTCAAATCCTGCCTCAGACACCTAATAGCTGTGTGACCCTGAGCCAGTCCCTTCACCGTTGTCTGCCTCAGTTTCCACATCTGCAAAAATGGGGGAGGGGTGTGGACTCTGGCCTCTAAGTTCCCTTCCAGCTCAAAGCCCCATCCTACAGTTCTCTGATCACATGTCAAATCATTCACCTACCTCTCGGTGCTTTAGTTTCTTTATCTCTGGGCCTCAGTTTCCGCAGCTATAGATGGAAGGACTGGATTATTTCTAAAGTCCCCTCTGGCTCCACTATGCTATCACATTTACTAAGCCTGGGATGGTGATAGCTTACAAAGGGCTCTCCTTGAAGCAGCCCTGTGATGGACACAGTACAAGTGTTATCATCCTCTTTTCACAGATGGGGAAACTGAGGCACAGATCGGCCAAGAGAATTACCATATAGTTAATTAAGTATGAGAACCAGGATTCAAGCCTAGATCTCCTAACCCCTGATGGAACATTCATTCCCTCAAGAAAGTTGCTTGCCCTCTCCAAAGTCTCTGAACCAGTCTCCTCATCTGTAACATAAGAGGTTAGACCAGACTGGGTGTGGCGAAGGGTCCCGACCTGAGATCTGTGAACGCGGTTGGGGTGAGGGTGGCGTGGAGTTTTCTTTTAGCTTTTGGATCACTGTATTTCAGTGCAATTGGTTTCCTTTGTCATCGTGTATATTTTCTGTACTTACAAACATTATTCTGAGGAAAGGTCCATAGGCTTCCCCAGACTGCTCAAGGGGCCCAGGACCCCGATAAGGACCTCTAAACTAGAGGACCTCTAAGGATGCCTCCCACTTGGAGTGACAAGGCCCAGCTTTGCCTCCTGCCTCAGACTAGTCCTTAACCTGCATCTCAGTTTCTGTGAAATGGGAACAATCACTGCACCTCCCTTTGCGGGGGTTCTGCAAGCCTCCACAGAGATATGGTACCTAAAAGCCTCCCAGCCCTGCCTACATAAGCTTCCAGACCCAGAAGCTGAGGCTGCTGCCGGGGGACTGGGCTGGTGGAGGAGGGGAGGGAGGCCTGGCCACACCCCTCTCAAGGGGTCAGCCTCACTTCAGAAGCAGTCAGGAGAACAGGGTTGCCTTTGAAGCCTTTTTGATGATGTCTTCTGAAGGAGAAGGGTCTCAGGCTGCCTGTCCCCCTGGGGCTTTGGTGGGGGCTGGCCAGCCAGGTTGCCATGGTTACGGCTCCGCTGTGCCATCCCAGATCTGGCTAATTAAGGCTTGGGGCGTGCAGAGCCTGGTGACAAGCCTGTGAGAGGCCCAGGAGTCCTCGAGGCACTACTGATCCTGGCTGGGCGCCACCCCCGTACACACACGCACAAAAAAGGGTCAGCCCAGCCCTTGGCTCTGGGTACCCTATTTTAGGAAGTACATTGAGGAGCGGGGAGCGTATGCTGACGACTACAACCGGGAGGGGGAGGAGCGCAGAAGCAGAAGAAGGAGGAATGTTTAGCCTGGTAAAGAAAAGGTTGGGGGGGGGGGCAGGGAAAGACATGATTGTCTGAATATCTGAAGGACTGTCGTGTGGAAGAGGGCCCCAGAGGGACGAACCAGGAGCTGGGGTGGAATGTATGAAGTGTCGGGACAAGCTTGCTAACCATCAGGGCCGTGCCAGTGTAGACTGGACTGCCGCGGAAGTTAGTGAGTCTCTCAGAGCTGGGCATTTCCAAGATGAGGTGAGATGCCCAGGGGGCTGTAGAGGGCGGTTCTGTTTCTGATGGGTCCAGATGGGTTCAGACGGGTTCTGAGGCTCCTTCTTGCTCTGAGATTTGGCGAAATCAAAGTCAGGGGACTGGATCAGGGAGAAGAGGAGGGTCCCAGCTCTAGAGAGGAGCCCTCCTGCTGCCCAGAACCTCCTCCGATGGTCTCTGCAGCTGACCCAATGGGAAAGAGAATGCCAAAGGCCTCAGTCCTTCCCTCTCTCTACCTGCCCATCTCCATGTCCAGTGGAAAGATCTAGGTTCAGGGGCCTTCAGAAGCCTCAGCACTGGTATGAAGAAAGCATTCCATTTAGAGTTCAGCGTTCAAATCCTGACTGCCATCGCTACCAAGGTCAGCTTGGGCATTTGATCAACAAGCATTTAAGTGCCTACTATGTGCCAGGCCCTGTGCTAAGAATTTTAGGTGCATGCAGGGTTCTGGTGGAGAAGGGGGGATTCGTCCATTTGCTTGGCCCCTAAAGCAAGCCACGATCCCTCTCTGAGCCTCACTTTCCTTATCTGTAAAATAGAAGTCACTGGACGAGTAATCCATTGGATGATGCTATAATTCAGCATGTGAACTTTGCTTCACAAAAATATTTTGGTCCCTGTATTTCAATAGAATTGGTTTCCTTGCAATCCTGTGTGTCTCATGGGTTCACTGAGATGATTGTGAGAAGGGGTCTGCAGGCTTGGCCAGAGGGGCCCTGAGATCCCCTGCCCTAGGGGTCCCCTCCAGCCCTCCAGCCCATGACCCAGCCAATACCTGAGGTGTGTCCCTACCCAAATAGGGCCCAGCATGTCCCTCAGCCTCTCCTAGGCTCCACCCGAGCCTACCATGTTGGGCTGTTTACTTGGCTCCCATGTCCCCCAGGCCAGGAGTAGCAGCTGGCGTAGCTAGATCTGGCATCAGGAGACGCAAGATGGTGGGATCCACTCCGGCCTTTGTTCGCCACGTGACTTCACAAGTACCTTGCCCATTCTGGAGTTCTGGGGGAGGAGGAAAGGCCCTGGAATTGGAGTGAGGAGAGCAGGGTCCAAGCTCTGGCTCTGGGTGAATTACAACTTCTCAGGGCCTCAGTTTCCTCATCTGTAGAATGGGGATAATAATGCTTGCATGACCTACTTCAAAGGGTCCTTGTCCAATCAAATCAGCAAGAATTTATTAAATGCCTGCTGCGTGCCAGGCACCGAGCTAAGCACTGGCAAATCTAGGAATTCCCAGTCTGATGAGGGAGAACACATGCACGGAGGAGACAGATGCTGGCTAATTTGGAGACAACCAGCAGAGAGAAGGCTCTCAATAAGGGGGAACCAGGGGTTCTTGTGGGAGGCAAGCACTTTGTAAACCGAGGAGCGGATGGAGACATAAGCTGTCAGTGCCAGGAAGGGACTGCTTTCTACGGACAGGGGGCTCCCTCACCATAACCAGAGAGGGTTCCCACGCAGTCCCCTCCCCAGGGCCGGAGGGGAGGCATCGGGGTAGGAGGGCTGGCCCTGATGCCCCTCGGGGGTGTCCATCTCGCCCGCCCCAGCTGTCCCCAGGCTCGGAGGACGACGAGACCCACGAAGGCTGCAGCCAGGAGAACCTGGGCCGGATCCAGTTCAGCGTGGGCTACAACTTCCAGGAGTCCACCCTCACCGTGAAGATCATGAAGGCCCAGGAGCTGCCTGCCAAGGACTTCAGTGGCACCAGCGACCCCTTTGTCAAGATCTACCTGCTCCCCGACAAGAAGCACAAGCTGGAGACCAAGGTCAAGAGGAAGAACCTGAACCCCCACTGGAATGAGACCTTCCTCTTCGAAGGTGAGGCCCCAGGACCCCCTTTGTGAGCTGGGGGGAGGGGACAGTCCCTTTGGGAAGCTGCACGACCCATGAGACAGGGTAGAGAGCCCGGCACTTCCCAGCTTCCTCATCTGTGTAATGGGCACACAGATGGGACTCTGTAGGTTGGAAAACGATGGGAGTAATAGCAGGAAATGTCTATTAAACACCTTCTATGATGGAACATTGTGCTGGATGAAATACAGAGTTTAGGCAAGGTGGATTCTTGTCCTCATTCTTGCAGCTCACAGTCTAAGAAGGGATAAGAAAGGGAAAAAACATTTATTAAGCCCCTGCTGTTTGCAGATTCCTTTGGCAGATGAGTTACAGAGTTTGTAAAGAAATGATCACTCCACTCAGGAAGCTCATGGTCTAGTACAGGGGGGAACGCATTTATTAAGCACCTCCAGTGTGCAGAACACCTTGCTGGACGTATTAGAGTTTGAGATGGTGGGGTTATGAAGCTCACAGCCTAATAAGGAAATCAGTCACGAGCAGAAGCATTTATTAAGCATCAGCTGTGTGCAGAACACTACAGGGGGAATAATGAATGAGACACGGTCCTTGCTGCCATGGAGCTTACAGTCTGGAGGGGGAGGATAAGTGCATAGATAGAGTTGAATGTGTGGTTTTCTGAGTCGCCCTGTGACCCACAGGGCTCTCTATGGATGTTGGGTTTCGCGGCCCCCGTTTCTATTAGAGGCTGACCCCCCTACTGTACAGGACCCTAAGGAGATCTGACGGGATTACTCCCAGGAGGGGTAGCCCATGTTTCCTTAGGGCAGGGAGGACTTCCTGGGGCAGTGGCCCCTGAGTTAGGCTTTGAAGGAAGGGGGAGATTCCAACTGATGGAGCTGGGCCAGGGACCAGACAAGGCACAGAGATGGGGGAGAGGGATGGTTGTGCTGAAAGCATCCTGCAGACCTCAGGGGACAATGGGAGGGGAGGGCATTGTTATTCTTTGAGCCCTCCCCTCCTCCCACACATGTAGCCTAGACACCCTGGAAACACTCAGCAACGACTTCATGGAAAATTGATTGATGGGGCCAGGAGGTGCTATGTGGCCATTTGGGGCCCTCTCTCTGGGACTCCAGGAACGAGAGAAGGAGGCATCTAGTGTTAGTTGCTGACCTCTGTACTAGTGGGAGGGGTGACTCGTCTGAAGGGCAGATAACCAGGAGCATCCCTGTCTGACTCTGGCCTTCTCATCCATGGGGCTAGGCAGACCTCCGATGGGGATGTGTGGCAGCCCCCCCCCCCCCAGCAGAGGCCAATATGCTTTGGAGCTGGCCTGCGGAAGTGAGTCTAGACTCAGTCCCAGGTCACATCTAGAGGCCCCTCAGGAGACTGGGCTTTGCTCCAGAATGGCCGAGGATTCTGGGACCTCTTGGCACCGGGCCTGGACAGAGCCTCCCTGTCTAACCCTGAGTCAGGCCCGAGGGGCTCACACAACTGGCCCCAGGCAGGCAGTATGACACTCATCCTCAGATCAAAGTTTTAAGACAAATTTATTTGAGGGCAGCTTGGGGCAGAGGTAGAGGCCGTTACAGAAATGGGCACCATGTTGGGAAGTTGAGACCTCAGGACACACCCTGGTGATGGGCGTGGAACAAGGAGCCATAGGGCACGAGGGAAAGAGCTCTGGATTGAGAGGGGTCATGTCCAGCCTCTGCCACTTACTAGCTGTGCAACCTTGGGCAAATGACTTCATGTCTCTGGGCCTCACTCAGTTTCCTCATTTGCAAAATGCCAAGGTGGGTTAAGATGGGTGGGTCCCGGGCAGGGAGGGGGAGGAGGGGATGCCAGGGCTGTGGCTGACACAGCCCATTCCCTCATTCCGCCCACTCGACCTAGTTTGGGGGGCTGGTGGCTGGCTCCCTCCTTCGCCTCAGCCTGACCGTCTTCACTCTGGACGCTCCCCTAAGGAAGAGCGTAGGGGTGCAGTGCAGAAATGCCTGGATTAGGAGTCAGGGAGGAGGCCTTCGGAGCAGTCCTGCCCGTTGTCTGGGCCTCGGTTTACTGGTCCCCAACATCCCTTCATCTCTCTGGCTGTGCGGTTCTCCTCTTGCTGTCACCGTTCTGTGTCCTGACCCCGTGCTCCCCCTTTCTCTGCATCCAGGAGACCACGGCATTCAGCCTATTGTGAGGTTTGAAGAGGCCTTGGCTAAGTGGGAAAAGGAACAAAGGGGAAGTGAGACTGAAGCTCCAGGCACACATGTCTTCCTGGCTCCCTGGTAGCAAAGTCACTTAATGAAAGGAGCAAAACCAGGAGCGAAGCGGGGGGGGGGGGGGGGGGGGGGGGGGGGGGGGGGGGATTCCTGCTCAGTCCGTGTCCTTCGAGGCCTCTCCCAGCTTCGTATGAGCCCTTCATAAACCATATGTAATGATAGCATTGGTTCTGTTCGGTTCCGACCCAGAAGTAGGAGTAGTTAATGAATCAATGAATCAACAGGCATTTATTAAGCACCCACTGTATGCTAAATGCGAGGGATAGAAAGGCAAAGGCAAAAGTCCCTGCCCTCAATGAGCTTACATTCTAATGGGGGAGACCGCATGCACATATTTAGGGTTATTCAACAGATACATGGCAGCCTTGGGGAGGAGGGAAGGGCCCTAGCAGCTGTGGGGCCTGAAGCAGCCTCGTGCAGAAGGTGTCGCTTCATCTGGGGGCTCTGAGAGGCTGAGGTGAGGAGGGAAGGCATTCCTGGTGGGGGGCACAGCCCGTGCAAAGGCACAGAGAGTGTATGAAGCCTAGAACGTTGCACGGCAGAGCTGTTCATTTGATCCAGGAGGTAACTGGAAGCCACTGGAATCTATTGCCTAGAGGGGGGTGATACGGTCAGAACTTCCCTTGGCGGCTGTGAGGAGGCCAGACTGGAGCAGGGAGAGGCGTGGGCCAGGGAGGCCAGTTAGGAGACTGCTGGCGTCCTCCAGGCAGGAGCTGATGCTCCCAGAGCCAGGCTGTGAAGGCGGGGGAAAGGCAGAAGAAGCAAGATCTGGCAGCTGCTTGATACGTGGAGTGAGGGAGGAGGTGACACGGACGATGATTTTGTGAATCTAGTTAACTGGGGGGATGGTGGTACCGTCATCAGAAACAGGGAAGGCCCTGAAGCCAGGAGGACCTGAGTTCAAATCTGGCCTCAGACACTTACTAGCTGTGTGACCCTGGGCAAGTCACCTAACCCTGATTGCCTCAAAAAAAAAAAAAGGACAGAAACAAGAAAGTTCAGTAGAGGTAGAGGGTGTTGGAGTAGAGAGTGAAAAGAGTTCTGTTTTGGACAAGTTGAGTTTGGGTTGCTGACAGGACATCCAGTTAGAAATGATGATGTGGGACTGTAGTTCAGGACAGGCTGGGGCTGGCTATGTAGATCTGGGAATCATCTGTATAGTGATAACAACTAGATCCATGGGAGTCAATGAGATTATCAAGTGAGAGACCGTAGAAAGAATACGGTAAAGGGCCTAGGTCAGAGCCCTGGGCAACACCCAGTTAGTGGGCACAACATAGATGATGAGCCAACAATGACACTAGAAGGAGTGGTCAGAGAGGGAGGAGGAGAGCCGGGGTGGGGTGGGGGGGCAGGGAGAGGGAAGAGAGAGACAGAGACACAAAGAGAGAGACACACGGAGAGAGCAGTGGCCCCAAACCCAGAGCACAGCGTTTAGGGGGAGAGGGCGGTCACAGCCTGCAAAGAGGTCGAGAAGGATGAAGGCAGAGAGGACGCGGAAGCTTTGGCGTCGCTGGGAGAACCGGAGAAGGCAATTTCATTGGAGTGCTGAGGTCAGAAGCCAGACTGCAGAAGGCTGGGAAGAGAGTGAGGGGAGACGAAGCGGCAGCACTGAGCACAGGCCCCTTTCTCTTGAGGACAGACGGTGGGTGGGAGTCACAAAGAACTAGATTTAGGACCAAACAGTTCTTCAAGGTTCGAGCCCTCCAAAGATGAAGGGGAGACCTTGGTAGGTAGTGAGTTGCCCCTCACCGGAAGTCTTCGGGCAGGGGCTGGATGGGGACCTGTTGGGGACGTTTTTGTAGCGGGGGATCCCTCCTGTGGGCACGGCCCCTTCTGGCTCCGAGACTCCAGAATTCTTCTGTCCAGGGAAGGAGAAGGGTCCAGGGTGGGGGTTCGGGGCCCACAGTCCCGACTTTCTTCTCGGTCCTCACAGGCTTCCCCTATGAGAAGGTGGTGCAGCGGGTGTTGTACCTCCAGGTCCTGGACTATGACCGCTTCAGTCGTAACGACCCCATCGGGGAAGTGTCCATCCCACTTAACAAAGTGGACCTGACCCAGATGCAGACATTCTGGAAGGAGCTGAAGCCATGTAGCGACGGGAGCGTAAGGCCCTTTCCTTTCTGTCCCTCCCTGAAGCTGGGGCTTAGCCTCTCAGCTGTGAGAGAAGGGTTCCCCACAGCAGGGAGGCCCTCATGCTGTGGGCAGGGGAGCCTCAGCCGAGCTGGGCTCGTGGCGCCAAAGTGCACGGAGCGCTGGACCCAGAGTCAGGAGCACCTGAGTTCAGTTTCTGCCTTAGACACTTCCTAGCTATGAGACCCTGGGCAAGTACTTAACCTCTGCTGACCTCAGTTTCCTCATCTGTAAAATGGAATAATCATAGTACCTAACTCCAAGACTTGTGTGATAATATTTATAAAGTGCTTTGCAAATCTTAAAGCACGATATGAATCCTAACTACTGTTACTACCCCCAGGTGTGTGGGGGGGCATTGTAAAAGAGACCCCACGGCCCACCCCTAACGAGGTGGGAATCTGAGAATAGGCTGTGTTCATCCTGAATGTGGGTCAAGGTCAGGCTGAGGAGCTGAGGGCTGTGAGTCCCTCATCCCAGTGGTCTCCACTGCGGTCCTCAAAGGCTGAGCCACCTACGAACGTCACCCCCTCCCAGCCGTGTCTCGGTCCCGCCCCACCCCTCTCCTTTTGTCTCCTCCAGGGAAGTCGAGGGGAACTGCTCCTGTCCCTGTGCTATAACCCCTCTGCCAACTCCATCATCGTGAACATCATTAAAGCACGGAACCTCAAAGCCATGGACATCGGGGGCACATCTGGTAATCTGGGCTTTGGGACGGGCGGGGCCGATGAGGCCGAGGGGCCCCTCTACACTGTCCACCTGAGCCCCCTGACCCTCTCTCACCAGGGCACCGGCCTCGTTCCCTCATTCTGCGTGGTCCCATCTAAACGTCCCCCATCATTTGCCTTCCACGTTCCACCTCCCACCATCCCATGCAGCTCTCCTTCCTCACAGAACACTCCCAAAGCCAGGGTGTCAGGCAGTCAGTCAGCTAACCTTTCTTAAGTGTCTACCAGGTGCCAGGGACTGTGTCAAGCACTAGGCTCTCTGTAGACCCCTTGCCCACAGAGAGGGGCTTATTCTGGGTTTCTTTCCAGAATAAAGAAAATAGCACAGTATTAGAAGGAATGCAAGGTTGGGACTTAAGAGGCCTGAGTTCTGGTCCTGATTTGGTTCACTTTCTTGGAGACTCTGAGCTACGCATGATCCCTCCCTGGGCCCAAGTTTTCCCATCTGTAAAATGAGGTCATTGAACCAAATGTTCTCTAAGGCCCCTCCCAGCCCTGACATTCCCTGTTCTAAGGCCCCTCCCAGATCTGTCATTCCCTGTTCTAAGGCCCCTCCCAGCCCTGACATCCCATGTTCTAAGGCCCTTCCAAACTCTGACGTTCTATAATTCAGTATTTCCTGAGAATCCTTTTGGTCCTTTCATGGCTCCCTCTTCACACATTAAACCCCCAAAGGAAAGAAGCCCTTTTTTCTCCACTCCTCCTCCCGGCTCCAAGTCCTCCCTCAGTGGGATGGGTCAGGGCTGGAGAAGCCCCACTCCCACTGACTCACGACTCTCCCTGGCAGACCCCTACGTGAAGGTGTGGTTGATGTACAAGGACAAGCGAGTGGAGAAGAAGAAGACGGTGACCATGAAGAGGAACCTGAACCCCGTCTTCAATGAGTCCTTCATCTTTGACATTCCCACAGAGAAGCTCCGGGAGACAACGATCATTATCACCGTCATGGACAAGGACAAGCTCAGCCGGAATGACGTCATCGGCAAGGTGGGGGTCACCAGTGCCGGGCAGCCTGTGGATGCTGCCCGGAGCACTCGGGGAGTGGGGGAAGGGGGGGAGGGAGGGTAGGAGGACAGCACCTCGGACAGGGCTTTGTATGCTGTAGGCATTCAATCACTATTTGCTAAATATATGCATGAATGAGGGCCTGAAGCTGACTGCAGGAGGAAGGAAGGAGGGGAGGAAGGAAGGAGGGAGGGAAGGAAGGAAGGAAAGAGAGAGGGAAGGAAGGAGGGAAGGAAGGAAGGAAGGAAAGAAGGAAGGAAGGAAGGAGAGAGGGAAGGAAGGAGAGAAGTAGAGAGGAAAAGAAGGAAAGAAGGAAGGAAGGAAGGAGGGAAGGAAGGAAGGAAGGAAAGAAGGAAGGAAGGAAGGAGGGAAGGAAGGAAGGAGGGAAGGAGAGAGGGAAGGAAGGAAGGAAGGAAAGAAGGAAGGAAGGAGAGGGAAGGAAGGAGAGGAGAGAGGAAAAGAAGGAAAGAAGGAAGGAAGGAAGGAAGGAGGGAAGGAAGGAAGGAAAGAAGGAAGGAAGGAAGGAGAGAGGGAAGGAAGGAGAGAGGGAAGGAAGGAGGGAAGGAGAGAGGGAAGGAAGGAGAGGAGAGAGGAAAAGAAGGAAAGAAGGAAGGAAGGAAGGA